TTCTGTGTGCTGTGTGACTTTCAATCATCACTCTGCCTATGAGACATAATAGGTGTCACTGTCAGTCAGTGGCCATTTTTAGCACTTGCACCCACTCTTTTATTGTTGTCATCTCTGCCTTGTCTTGCATTGTGTGTTTATTTGCCCCCCCCCCCCACTTCATTGATACAACATCAAGGTCTCTGTCTCCCCCCAAGCTTTAAAGCAACTGTCTGTCTGCGTACAAGAACAAATGCACCCTGAGGAACATGACTGTGTCATCGTATAGACAATGACATGCTGCTGCTTATGTAACGTGTCTTTTGGCCACTTCCAGTCCTGTGAAATGAATTTGGTCAGACTGTAGTTAGCTGATCCGTGTTTGACTCACTGGTCAACAATTATTGTTGTCATATATCATACATTGACAACACTAGATTTGGTTTGGTTTTAAGTGATGTCTTCAGTTATAGAAAATAAATATTTTATTTTTTTAACCATCCTACAAGGAGGAATCACTGCAGCCTCAAAATACTGGAATGCCTTGAAGCTTTTTTTTTGTTTCCAGATCACTCGCTCCACCTAAAACAGCAGAAAAGTAAATGTAAGGGCATATTAGCTGGCTGTAGTCAAATAGCATTCTGGGAGATGAAAAGACAAACAGATTTGTGTTCCCTATAGAACAACAATAATGCTATTGTGTAACTATCGTGCTCACATTCTTGACTCTTGGTGAAATGTTGACTTACTATGTGTCTATGTTTATCCTCTATCTGACTTCCTATCTCAGATTACACATGGCTTTGACAGCAGAGAGAGTGGGATCTATATTCCAGGTTGATGATTACTGGTGGAAATGGATGTTAATTCTTAGTGGATGTGTCACAGTGTTGTCACTGTTTGAGAGAGAGTCAGTAGTTTCCACGTATCTACAAATACGTGCACCGAGGGTGACTTGGCTGATGTGTCATCTGTTCTGTCCTCTGTGTCCTTTCCAGATGTTGAGGCTGTGGAGGCGAGACATGCTGCTCTCAGAGAGGCTGGGAGAAGACTCTCCGTTGGTCGCGGTGCCTGGCCCCCTGGCCACAGCAGCCCCGACGGGACCCAACATTTCATGGCTACCTGAAGCCCCACATCTGATCCCAGAGCAGCCGATCTTCCTCATGACCCCTGCAGCTCAGGCTGTGTCAGGCTTCTTCGTGTGGACGGCACTCATCCTCACCTGTCACCAGGTAACGACTTGCAAACAGCGTGTGGAGAGGGAGATGCTAAGATCATCAGGTTTTTATTTCAACTTTAAGTGAGTGGATAATGTATTTACCCAAATGATGAGGTCTGACTGAGCAGACAGGGTTTCCTGAAGAGGTTCTTTACAAACATGTAAACTGGTTGTAGCAGGTGCATGTGTGTGTGTGTGTGCGCGTGTCTGTGGTGTGTGTGTTGCTCAATGCACAGGCAATGTGATCCTGATACATCTGCTCAGCACCAGAGAAGGGCAGGGGGTTGCATGGCAACATCCCTCAGCAGGTGTTTGTGAAACACACATGAAGGGGAAACTTGATCCAGGTGGATGAAAAGCCTGTATGAAATCTGGTTGGAAAAACAAAAATAGTTTTTCTCCACTCATTCCAGTGAAGTTTTGCGATTTATAAATTGTTAACATCATTGACACTGACAGTAAGGAGACATAAGTGAAGTACATATGTTTTATGATTATCTCCAAATGTATCTGTCTCTACGAAATGAAAAAGCTGTTTGACTTGTAACCTTCAAGTCCCTTGTGTAAAGTTTTTGAAAGGTCTGTTCCAGTTTAACTTGTAGACTCAGTGTTGATGTTTTAAACTTATTATTTATACATAATATTTTCCACAATTGTAGTTTCACACTTAAAGCTGCAGTTGCTAGGATTTAGAAAGAGGAAGTGGAAGAGAACAGGAGAATATAACTTCCTGTCCCCACCTCACCTTCACACTGAACTTCACTGCTGTCTCCAAAGCCCCTCCCTGCACCGCAGAGCCCCTGCAGTGCACACAGGATAGTAACCACAGCAACCAGAAAAAAACTGGGAGACTGCCTCTGCATGTCACAGCGACGTATTCAGCAACTTTGCAAATACAATAATTCAACGCTAACCACCAGTCACAGTTATAATCAAACAGAAGCTAAAGTTAGCCCGACTGTATCATCGTGGTAACACGAGAGCTGCTGCAGGCTGGGTAATTACCTGTGAAGCAGACATGTGGCTAAGTGAGCAGTGATTGACGCCTGCTCAGACACTCCTAGCTCTGATTGGTGATTTACCTGCCTCGTGCACCTCTGTCAGACCATCGAGACAATTATAGAAGCAGTCAGAACAAATGTTTTTATAAATATTCATTTTAACGCTCAAAACATTTATTTTACTTTTGTTCAATATTTAATATTTCAATGTTTAAGACGTCTCCTTTATCATTTCCAGATCTACATGCATCTACGCTTTTACAGCTCACCCAGGGAGCAGCGCCACATCGTGAGGATCCTCTTCATCGTCCCTATCTACGCCTTTGACTCCTGGCTCAGCCTCCTCTTCTTCACCAATGACCAGTACTACGTGTACTTTGACACCGTCAGGGACTGCTACGAGGGTAAGGACGTGCTTTTGACATACAATGATGCAGACAACTCCCAACTGCCTGAAGCTTGTTTGCACTAAAAAACCAAAGCCACTCCTCCGTATGTAAATGTCACCAGTTTGTATTCCCACCAATCGTCCACCTTGGCTGCAATGCTGGTGTCTCATGATACACCAGGTGTCGATGTAAACAGACTTTTAATGGCATTTGCTCTGATAGAAGTTACCTATTTAAAATCCACCTCATTGTGGGCAACCTTTCCAGCTCTCTTGCTGAAACACATTTTGATCAGATGAGATTGGAGATGAACAAACGCGTCTGTTCATCCAGAAAAAACGATTCCAGGAATCCTTTAGAATATGGAAGTTTTTTATTTGTGTCTGATCAGAAAAAGATGATGTGGCAGCTTAGCGGAGACAATGGATGATACAAACATAACAAAAGCTACCACTCTCGAGATATTAAATGGGCAGCAGGTTGTGAGAGGCAGCTCACTGCCTCCGCTCCTTTCTCTCTCTCTCCTCAGTTGGTTGTGACGTTTAGGATAGAAATAGTCACCACGCTGTGACACTTCCTACGTCGGGGAAATGATGATGTCAAATGCATTCGGATGTTGGGGGGGGCACTCAATGCAGGGTTGTGCTTTTGGCTGGAAACGTTGTGAGTGTTGTGGTCGTTGTATCACTCCCTCCTCCTCCTTTTTTTCTTGTTGTCCTCACTTGGCACCATCCTCTGTTCACTCCCTTTTTTTCCCTTCTTGCCCTTCGTCTCCTCCTCCTCTCCTCCTCCTCCTCCCATTGCCCTTCCCTCCCCACCACGCTCCGGAGCCCTGCCTCGATCTTTTCCCTCAGCAAGGATGACTGACCTGTTGCATGGCAACTGCACTCACAAATCTCCCTCGCCAACTGTAATGGCTGCATCAGATAATGAGTTTCTCTCAACCAAACTTACTGCAAAGTTCCCATTCTCATTGTATGTAAGCCTACTGTATCACCATGGCAACAAACATGCTGATGGGGTCCTCAGGGAGAAATGAAGGCGCATGATGGTAAACAGCTGAGACACAGGGGGCTGTACTCAGACCAGTTCTCGTCACTCGGATCTGTGCAGAAGCCGCTGTGTTCAGTCAGTGAACTGTCATGTGTGGCATCTTATTGTCGTCAGACAGGAAACGTGTGTGTGTGTACATGTGTGTACGTACGTGCGTGCGTGTGTGTGTGTGTACGTGCGTGTGTGTGTGTCACACAACACCACAAACACTTTCTCAAAACTGCCACATCACATCATAATCACCTTATTTTACCTCACATGCACGGTCACACACAAGCACATCCTGCCTGTGAGAGTGTGTGACAACATGGATGCACACTCGCATAGAGGAATAGTAAGCTCCACGGGGTTAACAGGATTAACCTGGTCGTGTTTTTTATGAGCGTCTCATCGTCATCAGCCTCTCACTGAAACAGCACGGGGGGGGATAATCCACTGTCAGTCACATGCATGGGGAAAGGTGTGTGCATGAGTTTGTTCAAAATAACTCAACAAATCATCGTCAGATTTTCTCAAAGCTTGGTGTGAATATTACTCGCATATATAAACGCATTCTACACAGTCTACAATTTGCACTGAACAGAAGATTATTCCACATTATGGAGAGATAACACTGAACGCATCTTTTCTCATATAAGCCTTCTTTTAAAATGAAAGATTTTGTGACCAGTGGAAAATACAGTTTCAGCATCCAGTTAAAAAACAATTAATAAAAAGTAAGCTCAAGAATGACCACAGAAGTAGCTTTTGAAATCACAAAATGAAACTTGATATTTGCTTCCGCCGAGGAGGTTAGGTTTTATGAGTGTGTTTGTTATTTAGCAGGATTATGCAAAAACAACCGGAGGGATTACCACAAAATTTAGTGGAAGGATGTGGTATTGGTCAGGAGAGAACCCATTAAATAATAGTCCAGGAATTTGTTCATTTTCTTTAACACAGCGAGATGGCGTGTTTTTCAACTTTTTTTTTTATTTCTCAGGGAATTATGTGCGAATCTTGATAAACGGACATATTTGTGGGTTGGTATGACTGGAGGCTTTTTCAACTGCTGTATGGTAACAAGGGCTCAACTACCACCAATGTGTAGCTGAGAAACTTAGCTACAAGGCTTGTTTTAATTTAAGGGGAATGTTTGGCCTTGGCAGAGATATGTGCTCTGAGTCCGTCATGTCGTCTGTTTCATGGTGGGAAACTATTACAGTAATGTACTGCCACTACAGATAATACCCGTACTTGTTCAAGGCAAACATGGCAAATAGAAATGATGCCTGCTTAGAGATTATAACTAACAATCCCCTCTCTTCTTGTTTTTCTGTAGCGTTTGTGATTTACAACTTCCTGAGTCTGTGCTACGAGTACCTCGGAGGAGAGAGCGCCATCATGGCTGAGATCCGAGGGAAACCCATCGAGTAAGTCTCAAATGTTTCCTGCCGAAGGATTCGTTTTCAACAATAGCTGTTTGTGACCGAGCAAGACGTTATCATGCATATGTTCATTTTTTGTATCCTGGTGCTGCAACACTGTTTATTCTCGGCAGACATGAGAAATGACTTGTGTTATTTTCGCTGCTGCAGTCGGAATAATCTGAGCTTCGTCCCGTCAGGTCGAGCTGTATGTTCGGTACCTGCTGTCTGAGGGGGAAGGCCTACTCCATCGGCTTCCTGCGTTTCTGTAAGCAGGCCACTCTGCAGTTCTGCGTGGTCAAACCGCTCATGGCCGCCATCACCGTGGTCCTGCAGGCCTACGGCAAATACAAGGACGGAGACTTCGAGTAAGTTCTGCAGCTGGGGAGGCGGGACGGAGGTCCATCGATGAAACCTGGATTTAGTTTTATTTAAATTTATAGAAGTGGAGTCGAGAAGAGATTAAAAAAAAGAGGGATGGATTACTCCTTTTAACTATTTTATTATTCTCTAACTCCGCCTGTTTCCACAGTGTTGCCAGTGGTTACTTGTATGTAACCATCATCAACAACATCTCCGTCAGCCTGTCTCTGTACGCCCTGTTTCTCTTCTACTTCTCCACGAGGGAGCTGCTCAGCCCGTACAGCCCCATGCTCAAGTTCCTCATGGTCAAGTCGGTCGTCTTCCTCTCCTTCTGGCAGGGTAAATGAAAACCACTGTAAACAGTGCAAAACAAGCCACGAAGCGCTGTAGGCACAGTAGTATAATTTTTATCCATCTGCGGTCAGGCATGCTGCTCGCCATCCTGGAGAAGTGTGGCGCCATCCCTCAGATCAACTCGCTGGAGGTGTCCCTCGGCGAGGGCACGGTCGCCGCCGGTTACCAGAACTTCATCATTTGCATTGAGATGTTCTTCGCAGCGCTGGCTCTGCGGCACGCTTTCACCTACAAAGTCTACATGGACAAAAGTCTGGATTCACAAGGTGAGAAGATGTCTGTAACAGGAAGTATGATCGCTGAAACCTTGTGTGGATTTTCTTCTTCACTGACCTTTTTTAAAATACAAAACTACTCCTTTATTTACTTTCTCTTCATTCTTCTCTTTTTCACCTCACTCACATTTTTTGACACCAAATGGGTGGAGTTTTTTCCCCCTGTTTCTACACAAGTCTTCATTTCTCTCTTGTCTTTTTCTGCTGCACCATGAAGGACCTGCTCTGACATACGGAGAGTTTGGTACGTTAAATACTGATGACGTTTACTCCTGAACCCCCCCCCCCATTTTTATCCATGCTACTGTCTTTAGCTGCTTATGGTCCTCTCAGTTGCGTTCTTCTTTTTTTATTTAAGGTTTTTATTGTGAATTTTTTTAACCTGTGATTAGCATTACATAAAATTTTATCTTTTCGCTCTGACAAATCCATTCTCATTCCTTTCTGTCTTAAATCCCTCTACATCACTGTGAACCCCTTTTCCTTTTGTCCTTCTTCTGTTTAAATTACATCCTCTCTCCCTCTTTCAATTCCTTCCTTTTTCATCATTTCTCTTTCACCCATTCCCTCCTTTTGTCTCCCTCTAAATCACTGATGCCCCATTCCTCTTGTGCCTCTATTTGTTGTCCCCTCTTTTCCTCTGCCAGCCTTTCCTCCCTCCAATAAATCATTCCTCTTTCCACTCCTCTTTTTTCATCTGCCCCTCCTGATTCAGTTTTTTTCTTTCACACAGTCCCTTCATTCTCCACCTATCTTCCTCTCTTTCAATTTGATTCCACCATAAATCCACACATGCTTAATGATTTCCCCTTTCTCTAGTTTTTCTACTTACCCCTCTTCTAAATCACTCCTTCGCCTCTCCCCATCCTGTATGTTTCTTCCACTGACTATCCTTTTCTTCCTTGTCCCTCCCCCTTTAACCCTTTTCACACACTATCTTTTTCCTCCCTCTAACTCTCTGGTGTTGTCTGCCTCCCGCAGGTCGCCGGGCCCCCATGAAGAGCATCTCCAGCAGCCTGAAGGAGACCATGAACCCAGGCGACATGGTCCAAGACGCCATCCACAACTTCTCCCCGGCCTACCAGCAGTACACTCAGCAGTCAACGCTGGAGCAGGGTGTGCCCCCGCCCGTCTCCCGCACCCACAGCGCCGTCAGCGCCCGCGGCGACACGGAGAAGACGCTCCTGCTCAGCTCTGATGACGAGTTTTAAACGGCACAAACAGGCAGTGGCTCTTTCGCAGCTGAATCTTATTCAGACTGATGTTTTAATGGCGGATGGCACTGGGTGCTCCTGTGCAGCTGGTCCTCTGTAGTGTGTGATTGGTGGAGTCGTGTTTGTTTCCCTTGTTTTTGAGACTTAATGAACCTAAGGAATTTTGTGCGTACACATTTCTGCAGCCACACTTTGCAAGCATTTGGTTGGAACTCTGTGAGCTGATTTTGTGTTAAAACCACCGGCTAGAAAATGATTGATTGATTCACTTGTTGCACACTTCTTACATATAGAATATATTTGACTGAAAAGCAGAAGCTTGGTGAAGTTTAACTTCATATTTTAGCTCAGTCTTGTTTTCCTTCTGTGTTCAGAGTGGTTTTCTGGCTATTTCAATTTTTACTCCAGTCATGAAAATACTTGAATAGTTGAGGTGAACTAGAAAACTGGAAATGGAAAATATAAAAGTTGTGTAAAAGTTTAGAACCTTTAATTTGATAAACTCAAAGAATATTTAGAAATGAATTAACAAAAACTTGAGATAAGTTGCTTTGCAAATATATATTTATGTGCTTCAAACAGAAGCTGTTGTTGTGGCATTAACGTTACGGATTTATCCAATTAATGAATTGTTTTGGGGATTTTAAGGGACGCCCTTCACTGCAGTGAGGCGATGGATTTAAAGGGAAACCTGTCGGAAACATGGATCAATGTTGTATTGATATATGAACAGATAAGAGTGAGGCAGAGCAGATTATAGATTATACAGTGCATCTGCTCCAGTGGGCAGCAAGAGTGAAGGGCAGCAGCAGCAGAGGCGCTCAGGATTACACTGGTTTAATAGGAACGTTATTTGAACGGCCGAGATTAGAGCTGGAGCTGTCTCACTCAGACCGTCGACCTCTGCAGGCCACGATGTAGGTTAACAGGATCGGGGGGAAAGCAGGAGGAACATAGGTTAACACTAACTTCAGCTGCTTGTTGTCTGTACACAAACAATATCATAGGAAATGAATATTTTTTACATTTAGTGCCACTGGGCGGTTCAAGGTCCCACAGTTAAACATGCTCAACCAGTCGTGATTTAGTCACCAACATCTTTAACACCCCCTGGAGATCATTAATGTGTCACAGACAATACAATGAAACTTCTTGTTGATATTTTCAAATTTACCAAATAAATTTACAAATGCTAATTATGCCCACACACAGATTTGTTATCAAAAACTCTTCAGTATGACTTTAAGCTTGTTTGTAAGGAATCCCCTTGAACATAATTGCGGGAAAGATACAAGTCATTCTTTTGCCCCAAATGTCTCCAGGGGGCTTCATATGTTTGAGTAATTGAGTTTACAAAATTCCCCAACCTCTGACTCTGATAAGTTCTGACTGAATTCATAAGAATTTCTCAAATCTGTCCACATTTGTCTTCTGCATTTGTCCTGACCACTGTGGTGACCTGTTGTTTGCCAGTAAAGTTTCAGTATTTTCAGTTTTTTTTGCTTGTTGGCTTAACTACGTTTTTTTTGCACATTATACTGTTCTTATCATGAGAGATGATAATTTAAAAGCTTAAAAAACACAAATTATTCTGATGTTAGACAATACAGTTAAAAATGTAAAAAAGTGTTTCTTTTTTCTGCTGCTTTTATTCTCCAGTCCTCTTTTTTTTTTCATTTACTTTCACCGCAGTTAGAGCGGGGTTATTTTTTAACTCGTAATTTGAGGTCTTGACTCATCTGAATGAGTCATAGCAAGTCTGCCAACATGTTTACTGTAACTACTTTCACTGCTCGGCTGTAGCGCTGTATGAACACCAGGGGGCTGTGTGGAGTAGACAGCAACATATCCACTCATAGTTATCACTCACTTTAAGCTTCCAGCATGTACAACAGAAGACAAGAGCTTTGTCTGATGGCCAGTCTTTGATTTTCTTGTGCGTGCGTGTGCGTGCATGTGTGTGTGTAGTGGCCATTGGTATCTTTTATTTCTACTTCTGTTTGACATAATATTAGTTTTAAATCAGAGGGATAACATGTTTGAGTGAGGAAGCCAGAGCCCATGTTTTAGACATTGCTGAGTCACTGGGTGGTTGCTTATTTTTATTATTATTATTATCATTATTATTATCATTATTATTATCCCCTTCTGGGATTTGAAATGTTTAACATAACAGATACAGATTTGTTTATGTGCTTCTATATGTTTTGACACAGACATTGTCCTCTGTTCTTTCCTATCACGGTAGATATTATGTTAAAACCCATTTCGATGCAAGTTTTGAATTATAATTTTTTGCACTACAGCTCCTAAAGGGAAGTTTCCCTCCTTTAAAAGCAGATAACGTGTCACTCTCACTGCACTTTGAACGCCATACCTGCTCTCATTAAATGAATACATGAGCATCGCTGAGAAAACGCTGTCGCCTCTTGTTGTAAATACACTTGTTGATGCAGCATGTGGACGCACGGGAGAAACAAAGACATAGTTTTGTATTTTCATTTCATTACTGTCTTTTTATTTGAGCAATTTGTTGAATTTTGATTTTATAGTTCTTTGTATATATTCAAGCTGCTCATGATGCTACTTTTTCATGTCTAATGGATAAATACTGCAAGAAATAATAAATGATATTTAGTCTGGTATTCAACGTAACCTCTTGTTTTTTCTAATAGTATCTGTATCTGATTCACATCCTTTGAACACACGGTTCACAAACTGGCAACTGTGGCTCCAGAGGGTCGTCCACCTAACCTGAAGGTCGGTAGTTTGATTCTGAACTTCTTGCCCCTGATGGTTGTGCTGACAGAGAATCAATGGTTGTGTAATAGACAAAGTTCTATGTAAAGACGTTCTGTATGAATGTGATTTATACTGTTAAGTTTGATTGGTTGACAAAAACAGTCCATGGAATGTTACTAAATCGATTATTCAACCAGATTTCACACAGAGACCAATGTAGTGTCGAGCATGTGTTGAATCATATATGTTCTTCTCCACTCGTCCACCAGTTTTTCACACATTCTTCTCTTATTATGTCTGTTCTGTCCCAATGCTCTAATTTCACACGCAGCTTTTTATAATTACACTAGAGACCAACAGTCCCCATAAACTCAATCAAGCTGCTCCAGATCGTACACCATAGTCACTCATAGATAACAGTCCCTTCAGTATGCCTGCTTTTTTTTTCATAAATATCGTTATTTCTTGTGAAATTCACCAACATTTTGAAAAAGGCTCCAGTCTCACAATGTTAAAGAAAGAGATCCTGGATCTGCCTCCTTTACTCCAATCAATAATAGGTTCTTCCTTGGCCCATACCCCACCCTTACACACACATTTCAAAAAAATCAGTTTAGTGGTTTCTGTTTAATCCTGCAAATAGAAAAAACAGCACTGAAAACATCACATCCTTGGCTGAGGTATTTAATCTGTTCAGTGGTATTTGTAGGAGTTGCACATTTCCCATAACCCCCTTGCTGCCAAAATCAGGTATGTTAAATCTGCTGGCCTCAGTATTTTTCTTCGTCTGCCGTAACGAATGAGTTCACTGAAGTAACAGTGCTATGAACCAGTGTGTCCACATCTTAATGCTGCAAAACTAAGTATCAGCTCTCTACAAAATAAAATGAGCTGGTGAACGAGATGAAATGTTGCTGAAAGGGTTTTACAAACCACCAATGTCAAAGTGAAAGAAACAGATTAGACCTGTTGCCTTGAATTACGTGGATTTTTTCTTTTCAAATTATGCTGCGCACATACAGAACCATGTAAAAACATGGCAGGACAAGGCGGCAGGGCCGCAGCTGAAATAACCCTGACACTCACAGGAGAGCGTCATGGCTTTGGCAGCTGAGCTCAAGTAAACATGAACACTCATGTACCTGAGTCAGCAGATTCATGCAGCACATGTATGGCCAATATTGAGATAATGACCTTACTGTCGGATTTATTTCCTTTAAAAGAATTAGAAGAATTAATTTTTCTTTGTCATAAAGTTAGTAACTAATTTGTTTAATCTTTAACTTTAAATCATCCACGATCGAAACTATTTACTTGCACTCTAACCTTGAGTTTTATCTTCTGATCAGGAGTAACAAATTGTGCAACACATCCAGCAGGTCCCTGTAGCTGACAATCACAAACGCACCATTTTATGTACAATATGTACAACATTTATTATAATTAATATTTAAAATAGACAATGTACTTAAATTTTCACAATAGAAAAAATACAGGTAATAAATACAAAGACCATTTTTGTTTTGCAAGTATTACAAAACATCCAGCACAAGTTGACAGATGTGAGACATTAAAATATTGAGAATAAATGCTTTGCCACACTGATATTCATATAGCTAAATATATGCCTCATATCTTAAAGGAGTTATTTGTCAACACAGTCTAATGTGTTACAATGCCTGCTTAGAAATGATATTGCTAGCACTATTCAGTGGCCTAAACTCCATGAGATCCAGGCCTGTTTGAGCTCGACTCGACTCAAACAGGCCGGCGACCGACGGAGGTTTTCAAGTGAATCAAACGCCACCTCTCACTACCTTCTTTCCCCAGTCCGCCTTTTCCTTCTTTCTACTTTCTTTCTCCATCATCCGACAACACCCCCGCCCTTCGTCTCCTCCCCATCGCCATCTTTCTCTCTACACGCCTTCCCTCCCAACATCCCGTTTCTGCCCAGCCTGGCCAATTCAGAAGTGACCTTAATTTTTTTCCTCACACAAATAACATATAAACCATCATAGAAAAATAATATCCCTCCAAGAATCCACTATGACACGCCAGTACAAACATGGCAAAAAACACACACACAAAAAAAAAATCATACAGCAATATGGCCATTGGCTTTGAGCATACTTCTACACAGCTAATAATTAACATTTCGCAAAGTAATCACCGTCGCCACACAACACAATTATTAGACATGAGAATATCCCCAGACTAGTCATAAGTAAGTACGTCTGAAAACAGAACATCACAGCACTCGTTAGCTTGTCTTTTTCATAATATCTACCTTTAAATACAAATAAAATATAGAATATATCTCTGATAAATGTCACTCAACATTTTCGTCTCTCAACGGCACATACAAACATTACAAATAAAAACACAAAACCGGGAATGTTTGCAGAGGATTTGCATCGTTTTTGAGTGTGTAATACCGACCAGATGCGACTCCGCTTTGACACGTTTTTGGCAAAATGACCAACATCTGTTGTTGGGAGTCTAGCAGATATAGAAAAAGGAGGGAAGCCGAAGCAAACTGTATCAAAATTAGGGATTGTGAAACGAGTGGTGGGGGATAACAGGAGGAATTGTAAAGAAAAATGTGTGGTGGTGAACAGGTAAGAAGGAGCGATTACAGTCTGTTTTTCAACCTTCTCTCTCTGACATTTCCATTCTCATAACTCCGACATACACTGAAGGCACTGCAGTAATGTGGGAAGTGTGAACACAAGTAGTATGAAACTTTCTCCTCAAACCAAGGGCAAGAACAGGAAGGGAGACTGACAAACCCAAAATTAAGACATTTCACTTCATGTACAGTTTTGAATTCATGAACACAGCGTTTCTCAACCGTTTTTCTGGAGTGTGTCAAACCTTTTAAATTCCAAAATCCTCATGGCCTCATCTAAGAAGGCTGTTGGGTGGCATACTGCTGTATTTTTTTTTTTTTAAAGAATGAAGGAAATGTCAGAATGTGAGTGTGGAGTCTGGGGAATCCCCCGTGGCCCCTGCCTGGATATCAGATGACGCGGAGGTTGAGAAACTCTGCGTTAATGACCAAGTGATTCATACTGTGAGACATTCTCTTGCATGCTAACAGAAACACATGACCCTGGGCTGCTTGTGAGAAAACACTAACTAGCTTCAGACTACAACTGTACCAGGAATGTAGACGTTTGTCAAGCTGGAGGAAGCAGCGCATGGCATACGTCAGCTCCACCCTGGTGGTTTTTTTGCTGAGTGGTGAGAGATGTACAGTAACTCTGGTTTGGGTTGTTCGGCTTCAGTCCAGTGAGTCCGGTCAGTCGACGGTTTCGAGTTGTGAGGATCCTGTGCATACGTGCACGCGTCTGTGCTCGACGCCTCGCTCACATTACACCTGCTGCCTTGTTCTGAACAAAACTGAGCTCTTGAGTTTCTCAACAAAGCTACTTGAGTAAATTTCAGTCGGCTAAGCTATAGCATTATAAAAAAATAGCATGAAGTAGAGGACCCCTCCACTTGTCCTGGATGAATTCTCAGCTGTGGCTTTAGAAAACTAAAAGTAGCTGTTGTCGTTTTGATGGTGTCACACGCAGCTCTGAATGATGCACTTCGTAATGTAACGGGGCTCAACGCAAACAAGCATTTAGCAATTTTCCTATTTGTCTTCCTATTGTTTAGCATGTGTATAGTACACGTATGCCTGCAGGTGTATGCATGTGTGAGAATGAGTGTGTGTTTGCATTGCAGGTTGTGCATCCCTCCCCAAGTCTGTTCCCAGCAGCTCCTTCTAGGACGGCTCGTGTTCTCTCTGTTGCTGAGGCTGTGGTGGACTCTTAACGATGGTGATGACGGAGGCGGTGTTGAGGCGCGGTGCCGTGGCCAGCAGGTTGCCCCCTCCGGCCTCCAGACCTCTGGCGAATCTCTGGAGAGCAGCCAGGCGCGCACCGAGGCCCTCCAGCTCTTTCCTCATACCGGCGTTCTCTGCGCCGAGCCTATCCACCTCCCTCTGAAGCTCCATTTTCTGCTGCTCCAGGGCCTCGCGCTGGGAAACCCGTTTGACCCGGCAACTGGCGGCGTAGCCCCGGTTCTTCAAGGTGCGACGCCGCTGCTTCAGCTTCTGGATCTCCTCGCGGGACATGCCGCGCAGGTGGAGGTTCAGCTCTCGTACCGTGAGGGACATGAGCTCACTGTCTGAGAGGAAGGGCACGTTCTCGCCACATTCCTGCTTCACCTTAAGGGAAGAGGTGGAGGACAGAAGAAGAGAAAAGATGCAGTTGGATGAAGTATTGAGGAAAAAAGGGATGGACATCAACAAATGACATTAAAGAGCAACTGAACTGGGAGGAGAGTCAAACCTCTTTCCAACATTGCCATTTTCCCTCTTGTAAAAATAGCCCAAGGCTATAAACATGACTCATTCTCCTAGAAATAATAAAACAGAGTATTATTTCTGGCTGTGTGTTACCTTCAGGGCTTTGCTGTTTCTTTCTGTCGTCATGATCCAAATGTCTTCAGCTTTTACCCCCCAAGCACCAGTCAACACAGATACAGACACTCTGGAAGCACAGAAACAGGACACACACACATAGACACAAAAAAAGGTATGTTACCCCATGTGACTCAGGACATCATGCTGCTTTGGTCCGTATCGGGCCTGACATTTACCATCCGCTCACAAGACAGCCAGTCATGCACGATAAAGAAAAGGAGAACCCACAAATCGGTCATGCTTCTCCAAATGCGCTCTCTCATTAAACTCTGTGGCTCGATATGAAAGAAAGGAGGAGGTTTTGTAAGCGACACGCCGTTTTTCTGTTGGTTGAAATGCCGAGGAGGAAGTTACCATGTGTCTGTCCTTTGGTTGCACAAAGCAGGTGCCCTAACCAATTCCCTTTACACTTCCTCTTGACAACACAACACCAACGGTTCAAAGCTTTCATTGTGGAAAAAGTCCAAATAAGAGCAGGCAACTATTTTTATAGGAAATCGACTGGGCTCAGCGTGTAAACATGTTAAAATAATCATTTTTACTTAACCTGAAGTAAAACTAAATCAGTATATTAAACGTACATGGGACAAACTAACAAGAGTATTTAAAGGTGGACGTGGATGATTCTTCTCTTTCAACAAGCAGCAGTAACAGTGTTTGTTTGTCTGTGCCGCCTTAACACTACTCTATTAGGAAATTTTCTCCTCATTGAGCAGTTAGCACACGCCACACAGGGACTTCCTGCACTCCTCTTAAGGTCAGCGCACAAATGTTGTTATGTGGGATTAAAGTCCAACCTCTACACAGGTCAACTATCTGTTTTTTCTTTTCTCTTCCCCTTCAGCTGTGGAGCTCGGATCACTACAGTGTTGATAGAAATGACTCTGCACTTCAGTCTGAGGCTGTTTTGGCTGTATGGCTAAAATATCTCTTCACAATAAATATTCAATCTAGACCAACAAGTTCAACCTGGACATCATCAAGCCCCAGGGTGTTTTCCCGGCACTTGGCTTTTCATTAACATTACCGTGTTTGCTTTCGTATTTCTTTTCAACATTTTAGAGTGGGTGGGCTTTTGTTTCGTCACACTGTCGCCTAAAGAGAGAGAAGTGTAAGAAAAAAAAACTTGCATGATACCACATACACGTAGAGAGTGGCAAAATACAGCCCTGTGGTTACTGTTGAGCTTTCGGCGGCTTAGTGAGCCGACTCTTCACACTATCATTTTTCTTTGAGGAGCAGACCAATGTAGACGAGGTAATGCTGCAGCTAAATTTCACAGCCTCGTGATTACAGTCATTTGCAGATTCCAAAGCATATTTGTGATCTTTGACATCTCGTTTTGGCCTCGTAACTCCAGTCTTTCAACAATAACATTTTGAAGATGGGGATGTGGTGTTTGTTTTCAATGAAACCCGTGGGAATATCTGTTGTTGTTGTGTTGTTTGAACTTGAAGTCTGAGTTTAAGCAATTTAGTGTTACGATTGCAGGTTAGATTGGATTTCTGTCTGCTTTTCAATGCGATATATTGAATTTGAACACATTTATACCCCTGACAAAAGATGGTTGGGGTTAGGATGAATTTGTACTTAAACTGGGTATTAACATTTGACATCCTGTCCCCTGAGTTGACCTGCTATCAATGGCCTTTTTGTTTATGGCTGTCAAATAAAAGTGTATGTGGACACAGTTACCTACAATACCAGTGAATGTAAAGATAAGACTTAGATTGTCCTGCTGACTCCAGCACTACCAGAGAAAACACATTCCCAAGTAGACATGACAGGGGGAGGAAGAAAAGATGCAAATGGGAGTCATGTGAGTTAAATCAGATTTAGTTGAGTTTTGTTTTAA